TAACCTTCAGGATTACTTTAACAGAGTTTCCCTCTCCGAAAAGAAGGTATCACTTTAGCAGATCATTATCAAATAGTGCAGTCATAAATTTTAAAGAATCTGTTTCACTTTCTCTCTCTCCTGTGTCACTGAGCAGTGCTGCAGATTGCAAGAGCTTAGTTTATTCCCCTTCACAGGTTGATGATTTTGTTCATGGGGTTGCTAGTTCTCTGGGTACTGCCTTAGACAACGCAGCCCCTTTGAAAAAGAAAAACTTTAAAAATAGAAAACTGGCTCCCTGGTTTAATGCAGAGCTGCACACTCTGAAGCAAAATGAGCCAGGAAACTGGAGAGAAAATCGCGCTCCAACAGGCCTACGGGAATCCTACCTAGTTTGGAAAAAATAATTCCAGTCCTTAAATAGCTTTTAAGGTTGCTGTAATTGAACCTTTACTTAAGAAACAGTCTCTTGACCCAGATGACTTGGTTAATTGTAGACCTATAGCCAATCTTCCTTTCTTATCTAAGATTCTTGAGAAAGTAGTTGCCAAACAGTTGTGTGATCACTTACACCATAATGAACTTTTTGAAGAGTTTAAGTCTGGCTAAGGAGCTCATCATAACACTGAAACAACTCTGATGAAAGTCACTAATGATATTCTCATGGCCTCAGATAATGGACTTGTATCTGTACTTGTCCTGTTAGATCTGAGTGCTGCATTTGATACAGTTGAACATATTATTCTTTTAGAAAGATTTTAATATTTTGTAGGAATTAAAGGAACAGCACTAGACTGGTGTAAACCTTATCTATCTAATCGATTTCAGTTTTTTCACATTAATGATAAATCTTCCTCATGCTCAAAGGTTACCTGTTGAGTACCACAGGGATCAGTGCTAGGGCCAATTCTCTTTACTTTATATATGCTCCCAATAGGTATAATTTTAAGACAGCATGGGATTAATTTCCACTGTTTAGGTCTATAAATGCAAATTACGCTAACCCATTACATAGATCACAGGCATCTCTTGAAGACATAAAAACTGGATGAATCTTAACTTTCTGCTCCTGAATGCAGACAAAGCAGAAGCCATAGTCTTCGGACCAGAGTCTTTGAGAAAGAAGCTGATTAGTCAGTCACTTCATACGGATGGGACTAAACTGAGTTCAGATAATAAAGTTAAAAAAATTAGTGTCATTTTTCAGAACCTGGCATTTAAATCCCATATCAAAGAGGTTTCCAGAATTGATTACTCATTTCTCACACCTGCTTAGATCTGCCCAGTTCTTATTACCCACTCATCTTATCCACCTGCATTGTTTGCTATATAACCAGCCTTCAGACTAGTCATCAGTCCCAGATTATTACGAGCGATTGGTGAGACTTATTCTAGTGTGTTCTGGCTACCTGATCCTGACCTGTTCTGCCTCTCGACATCTGAGTTTGCCTGTTCCCAACTGACCTGTTTGCCTGACCTGTCTTCTGTCTCCTGCCTGTTCTCTGGCTGATTGTGTACCGGATCTAGAACTGTGTCCCGACTTCATCCTGGATTCTCCTTTGGCACCTCATGAGATCTCTGACCTCCTGGCTCTGGCAATCAACCACATTGCCGACATTGGCTTTCATGAAGCAATGGCATTCTATGCCCCATGCAATGAATGGAGGTACGTGCTATTATTGTCGCCAAAAAACTGACTCTTTGTTTTTTATATATTAAGTTTATTCTTCTTCCCTCAACCTTAAGGGTTGAGGGAATATAGGTATCAAAATGCCCGGCTGGGTCCTGGCAGGCGTGCTATTATTTTTAAAGGGATTGGAGTTACCATGGCGATGTAATTTGCACAAAACCATGTATAAAAATCCCATAGGAATGAATGGGGAGAGGGGAGAAAGAAGACATAAAAATCCACTATTATTGAGCCTTTGCTGTGTTCACCTACAAACAGCTTAAAGCTCCGTTTGTAGATAAATCCTTCATCTTTCGAACTGAAAATGTTATGTTGATTACTGCAACAGTTTTTCTAGCTATCAAGCACCACAAAGTTTGAGCAAAATCATGAATCCAAGAGCATGTCACATGACTTTTCAGAGTGAGGGAGATGTTTTTTTAAAAGCACCTAAATTTTTTAAATCACTCTCATGGCTGCATATTTTGTGTTTCAGTCACCATTTTCATAGTTTGTAGATACCATTTATGGTTATCATCAGCACTCATTTGTTATGAAACATTTTTACCATTTTAAAAAGCCTGAGACTTAAGATGCCATGGTGTCTGCCAATCTAGCACCTGAAACAGAGCTTGAAAGAGGCCCCATTGCCACTTGGATAAAGCATATATTCACCATTGACTGTTCTCCCTGCTGCCCTCTGGGAGGAGGCTTTGCAGCATTAAATGCAGGTCCAGCAGTTTTTTTTTTAACCACATTAGAAGAGTGTTGAGTTGGGGGCTGTGGTGTAAGCATAAACCTTTTCAAAGCAGTCAATAAACTAAATCAATCTGCAGCGAGATTGATCCCAGACAATAGAAACAAAGAAAAACAATCCCAGCCACAATGCTAGTTCAGCAATACTGAGGTTGCTAATGTTATTGATTTTTCAATGTGATTAATACTTCAAAAAAATAAATTCTGTAGAAGATACCTATTTGTCTCTAAATCAGTATTTGCCAATCATCTTTTCAATCAGTGAGTGTGTGTCTGTTGAGGTTTATATTTCTTTAAAAGGTAAACTATAACATATTTATGATTTTGCAAATGTTTACATTATTTGGTTTATCTGCTCATGGCATGAAAAGTCCAGTTTCTGCATAAAACACAACTTTTGTTGTACAAAATGATGTGTTTTTGTGGTAAATAAGTTTAAAAAATCCAGGTTTAATGTCAGGAGGAGAGTGAATGAAAACTCACAGCCTTCCTGCTATCTTCCTTGTTTGTATAGAGAACAGGATAAGGCATGATCATCATCAGGCTCTCTTGTTTTTACAAGAGTTTTTCTTTCACGCAGTAAAATGATCAGAACAAGGTTCTGTTTAGTTATGAAGCTTCAGTCATAACAGGAAGGAAGGAAGCATGGACTTATAAGTCACATCTTTGGGTTTTCAAAGATACTTTGAATTCGGAAAACCCAATGATACATATATGATGACTGAAATGTTACCGAATAATGTTCTATTTAGAACATCGCCTGATACTGTAAGAACCACACGCCGCTGCCTGGGGCATTTAACATGAGGAGGTCACCGAAGATTTTGACATTTGTCAAATAAACAATTGTTTCTAATAAACAATAGAAAAACAAGTACATTTGTCATAGAGTAATCACAGCAAAACTGTTTTACTAAACAGCCTTTAGCTAACAGATCCTCCATCTCAAGTGATAGCCATCGTCTTTCAGCAGGAAAAAAACTAAATCCCCTCCTTGGAGTTGATTGTTGTTGCCATAGCAGCACTTCTGTCCTTCAAGCATCCTTTATCTCTGCAATACTTGAAATCTCTCTCTCTCTTAAAATGTGCATAGGAGAAAATGGCACAATGTTAATCAGTTACTTCTAGGTTGGATCCTGGTTTTGTAACCTAAATAGGACCATGAGTTGTTAAATCTAAGAACAGAATCTTAACAATAGGTAAAAACAGAGGAAAATCTAAACTGTTTCTTAAAGAGCAACTCAAAGACACACTTGAAAGAAACAAGTTTTTTTTATATATATATATATTATCTTAGGAGCTGCTGAATGGAGCCAATGGGATGCATCACAATGCAGACACAGTGTGAAAACCTGAACACCCACTGATGGCAGCAGCTTGGTTCTTCCAGCCCAACCAACAAAAGCAGCTGCTCCACATTATTCAAAGGAACACTGTCAGTGTGGTAATGATAGCACTCAGGCTGTTTGTGTAATAAACTCTTTATCTGGATAGATTTAATCAGACATTTGCAATATAAATAATAGTAATGTGCCAAAATGTCCATAAAAAGGTAAAAGAAGAGTTTCATACTATCCAATCATTTAATTTTTTTATTGTAGTAATTTACATTTGTCCTTTCATCCTAAGTCATTTGGTTTCTCCTGTTTCTTAGCTCTATCTTTGTTTATCTTTTTTTTTAAAACATACACATTTCTGTATGGTTTGTTTTTCTATTGTTTATTATTTTCTATACATTTTTTTAGTTGCTTTTAATTCTCTTTTTACACATTTTATTTAATTTCTTATTTGTTACTTTTAATCTGCACTTTCATGAATTTAAAAAAAAAAACATTTTTCTAATAATTTGCTTTTCCCATATCATTTTTTCATCTGACATTAAGGATCACAGTTTCTATACCGTGGTTTAAAGGTTGTGTGGTAAATACACAAAATAATTTGATTAGGTTTACTTGAAACAGAACATAAAAAATAGTATTCATATTGCTGATAAAATTAAACAAAATATAGGCTCTTACAAAACTGCTTCTGCTGTTTGAGATTAGTATGCAGAAAATAGTAAACTATATTTAGGAATTATATCTGACTGACGTTCTCCAGTAATTGTCAATTCAATACCCCTAAACTAAGGCCTGTAGCTTTAAATGTATTTCCCTCTTTCCAAAAGTATGTGAGGCTAAACAGCAGTGTGCTTTAAAGCATTAGTAGGTTCTCTCCATGAACACATTAGGAGCAGCTTCCTCCTAATGTCCCAAATCATTTATGTCAGTCAGGTATAACAACATGTCTGAATGTTTGTTTGTGTCTTTAGCTCCCTCCACAGCTAACCTTTGTGGTCAGAAACTGTAAACTGTGAGACAGTAAATCATCTTTTTATAAAAGCTTCATGTGTGATCTTTATAATCCAGAGAATGTGACCATGAGCACTGACCCTGTCTCTGAGTGAGAGCACCTCCATCTCCAGGTACCGATGCTCCTCTCTCGCCTGCTCCAGCTCAGTTTCCTTACTCGACAGCTTCTCCTGCAGGCTCAGGAGTTGCTGAAAGAAAAACAAGGATAGTTAGCACTTAGCTTTAGAACAGATTCTCTTCTCAGTATAGTAGAAAATAATTGGAAATGCATGGACTGAATGTAAAACAGATAGAGCCAAAGAGGTGGTTAAAATAAAGATAATTTAGTTTTTCCCAGTCAAATGTATAATATATCAGTAAGGAATTTAAGAACAGATTTAATCGCAGCTACCTTTGAATATATAATATAAGATTTGTGTGATAGTTCGACATAAATAAAAACAAAGAAATCTTTTATAATTATCTTTTCAATTCAGACCATATTGGAAATACTTATTTAAGAAGATGAGCGCCAAATATACAAGCAATATGAGTTGAAATGGTCTTGCAGTAGAATAAAATAGATAGAAACATTCTTTATTGTCCATCCTGGAGGAAATTTAGGTTTAACAGCAGAAAACTGACAGGAAAACAGAGACAGCTATGCATTGAGAGAGCAAAGATAACAAAAAGATTTTTTTTACAGTAGACTGTAGTGTAAGGTTGAATGTGATACATAAGAAATTAAAAAGTAACGTTTGTAAAAACTCAAAATATGCACATATAAACTGGGCTCAGACATTTTTGTTTTTTAATAAAAGCGAATTAAGAGAATTTGCCTCTATGGTAATAGAATCTCAAAGGAGGAAGGACCTACGATAACCCTGTTTTCTGCACCTAAAGTAGAGCAGTCTTCCTCTAAAGAAGCTCTCTATCTCTAAAACAGCTCCATGCATGAGGATGGGGACATTTTCCAAGAAACATGTTATTTCAGCTAATCTTCTCCTGCCACCCATCACCTGCAATGGACTGGGGAAAAAATAATCTCCTGAAGCCTACATTTTTTCATTACAATCACAACTGCTAAGTATTCCAAGATAATTTTATGTAAAGAACAGATATTTTGTAAAAAGCAAGAAAACCCTTCAATTTTGTTTTTTTATTATTATCCCTATTTGCTCAGATAGTACCTATAAAAAAAATCCAACATAATAAAATACCTTTTGGGATCAGACCTGTGTGCAGCAATATAGACAATACAGCAAGGGAAATGGAAATTTTCACCCAATTAAATGGTATAAAACTAACATGACACAGATACATTAACCTGAAAGGAGTTTTTTGTTCTTTTGCAGAGACAGTAAGGCTGACCAGAGGATTTGGGATGAAAGTCCAGACCCCCATGTAACTGAGAATCTGTGGCATGACTTACCTAAACTTAATCTTTACGATCAGATGCACTAAACTGATTGATGTTAGCCAAAGATCCTGGCTCAAAAATGTCTAGCGACTTGCAAAGCTGGCATGCCAAAAACAGACAATTATTTGTAAAAACAAAACAAATCTTAAATAAATGAATATTTTGTCTTGCAATTAACAATAATGATTTATTTGTCACATCAAATAGCACGGAAATGCATTAAGGTTTCACTGCAGTGTGGTCAAATGATAAAAGCTCGTACTTTGTTTCCTGCCTGCCTATAAGGAGGCAAGAAGACCAGTAGGTGACAAACAAGAGGTGACAGCGGGGTGACTTTGGACGCTGTGTGTGTTTGTTCGTGTATCAGTGGTTCCTTAAAATGTGTCGTGTTCCATTAGCTTTGTCACTTCTGATTGAGACAGACAGGAAGTCGAGTTGGATCAGGCTGCTCATGCTTACCAAGTGATGCAAACTAACAAAGCTTTTGTTGGAATGAGGGAAATCTGAGATATTCTGTATGAGGGAGAGTAAACTGAGTAAAAGGAGACTAAATTATATAGTGGCACTTTTGATGTTAATGCAGGTAATCTTGCTGTGATCCTCAATAATAGAAAAATGCAGGACCAATCCTGCCATAATTACAAATAAATAGAGAAATAAATAAATGGTCCAAAAATAAATAAGCATACAATTATTTGCCCCCCAAAAATACGATTGACAAATAAATTTAGATAGAAATTAAATTATATAGTGAGACATAAATGTATATAGCTCTTTTAATAATATAATAATAATAGCTTCAAGGTCATGTGACCTACTGACTCAAATTCTTTGTGAAATTGTTTTACTATATTAGCCCGATGAGGCACACAGTATTATTTGCATAATACTGCAACAGACTGTAACAGGTACTTTTGGACAAACATTATGTGGGACAAAGAATGTTGGATATGTTACACTCTCCAACATTCTGTTGTTCCTTTTTTTCCCCATACAGGATCCCATGGAGAATGACTTAAGATTATAACAGACCATGAATAAATAAGGTAATTATTACAAAGGCGAGAAAAAGAACAAAGGTAATTAAAAGAGATATATACACTTATGTCTCTTTGTATAATTTAATTTCTATCCAAATTTATTTGTTTATTTTATTTTTAGGGGGGGATTACTTGTATGCTTATTCATTTTTTGGAGCATTTATTTATTTCTGTATTTATTTTTAAATATGGCAGAGTTGGCTCCATATGCATCCTTATTATTCTTTTTAAAAAGCTGTTAAGGTTTTAGCATGGTTAGCCTCCATGAATATGTCTATGATATTTCTGTTACTGTGACACTTGATGTGAAATTAGACTCACTGCTTACCCAGTGCTGCCAGCAAGGTCTAACAGTGCTGCCAGCAGCACTTAACCATTAATGTCCACCTGAAGCAATCTCCAAGGACACCTCAGAGGACTTTGGTCCAAGATTCCCCCAGTCTGCTAGTTTAAAATACAGAGATTTCTAGCAGGCACTAACAGCTGATCCTGTTTGAAGGAGAAAATGTCTTCTAGTCCAGAATAGCTCTTCTGGTCATTTCTAAGGATTAAAAAAGGGGAGATTTTGGTTGTAATGTAATTGAAACATTTTCTGTTAATTCAAACATGAATTTCATCATTAGGTCATGGTAATTTTAGAACGACACTGTATCTGATTTGTTCATAATCTCAGATCTAATTAGAAATTATAGCCCAGAGATACATATTAAGATGATCTTTTCATTTATAAGAGGGTGTATTATAAATATCCTCGGAAGGTTTTGAACTCATATCAGATTGGTCTAACAGTTCCCTTTTGTAAACACCTTTTAAACTATTCTGTGTGTTCATGAACTGTTTATTTTTTTTTATTTTTTTGCAAGAACTATCTTCTGCACCAAGCGTCCTAATTGATATCAAGGTCTGACAACTTTGGATATTCTAAAATTGTTTAAATAGTCTAACAAAACACATGGATTGTTTTCTAGCTTATCGGTACCAGGAACTACTTTTTCTCCGGTATGTTTCTCGTAGCAGGAAGCTCAGTGACAGTACGGACACTGTTACATCACGTTTCACACAACTTCTTGCCCAAAAACCTGAAATATCCCTCAAACATTCCCATGCAGCAGAGTCCTGCACCAGGTTGAGTATCCATATAAAACGTACATCTGCAGGTAGAAAAAAACCCATGTTATTTCACCTGTGTGGGCACGGGTATAAATGAACAACATACGGGTAGCATAGAGTTACAGCATGAATGAAACTTATTTTTATTTTCTTATTTATCCACTCCAAATCTTAAAAAATAAATTGATTTAAGAATATCCAGATAACAGTATTGTAACGATGCCAACACAAGGTGCCGTGAAACTGGGTTTTTTATTCCAAAAACACAAGCTGGTATTTGAACACAAGCTTTTATTGGAGGCTGCAAGTCCCACCTCTCACAGGTTGACACAACAAATTCCAGAACCCCCCACTCCCAGTCCTGTTGTGTCACTACCCGCTCCGTACCAGAGGCACAGTCTGTCACGATCGCGGCCCTGATAGCTGACCTAATTGTTAATTTCACCTGCCTAACCCTCCCCGGTTACTAATCCTCATTCATCTTATCCACCAGCTCCTGCTGCTTTATATTCAGCTCAGCCCAGCTATTGGGCTGAGCTGGGATCATTCAGGATGTTTGTTTGTTGAATTTGCTTGTTTGAGTTCTAGTTTTATTTGGAGATCATGGCTGATTTCCACAGTTCATGTTCGTGTTCTCTGAGGCCAGGGGTTAGAGAGGGTGGTGGTGTTTCTGGCTCTTCTCTGCTGAGCACGCCCTGTTACTGTTTTGGCTTGGCGAGGGGGGGTTAGTTTAAAGTTCTGTAATCCTGCCTCTTGTCCACTAAGCATGTCCTGTTCCTAAGTTATTTAGTTTTCCTGGTGTTGTGTCATGCTTCTACCTCTCAATTGCTGAGCCTGCCTGTATTGACTCATGAAACTCAGATTCTGCCTGAACACTCTTTGGATTCCTGGATCTGTCTGCTCCTGCTTTGATCGGAAGCCCTGACTGGGCTACAGACTCCTGGATCTCAGTACCATCCTTGTTCTTGACTGATTCCCTGACCTGGCTCAGACTCTTCTCTGTTCACAGAAGATACTGCATTGGGGAAACTCTGGGCAGCTCCCACCGTATCTCATTGGCAGTCCATCTGCTGGATCCTGCCTCACTAGAGAGGATAGACTGCACTGTTTAACCAGAGTGTTATTGAAGGGTGGTGCCCCACCTCCCCCTGCTGCCACTGCGAATCCGCAGATCAACAGCTCCGTGGTCCATTTTTTTTCTGTTTGTGTAAATAAAAGCTTTAAAACTTTCCATTGTCTGTAGCGACTGAATACTTGGTCCCTTTGTCCCGTTAACATGACTCCATCCAAACCATCAGCTCATTTGGGTATTAGCAAGCAGATATATATCCGAGTTGCCCTTGATTTTATCTAGTAAAAAAAACCTAAATTATGTTTTTCCCTCCCTAAAAATAATAAGCGCAATAAATTATAATGTGTTAAAAGTTAAACATTTATTTTCTGAGAAAATAAATGCCCTAAAATCCTGTCTGTGCCCGACCTGTACTGGAAATGGGATCCGACGTTAGTTCCAGGAGCTAACTTTTTTGGCTTTGGATTTAAACATAAAGATAATCTTTTTAAGTTTGATGTTTTCCTTTCGTGTTGACCTTATGGTATACGGTGCGTTATCTAAAGAAAGAAAACAACTAAAATGCAGATAAACATGGTTTAATCATATTTTGCCAGATTGCTCTGAGCATGTCCGATGATGTAAAAACATTCAAACTGTCTAAAATTCATAAAACATTTGTTAGCATGCAGCTTTTAGTACCATAATTACATGATTTATGGCGACCTGGTTGAATACTTGCTTGCACATGCGCAAATGAGCTGATGATACAGATCGGGTAGTGACAGGTTGCACTGCCGGTGTTACGCCCACGTGACCAACAACACAACACATGAGTGAAAGTCAGCAGAGGCATACACAAACAGCTTATCCAAACTAATGTGGGTAACAATAAGAACATTACATGTAACAACATGAACCCCAAAACAGAACCATAGCACTGGGCCATTACAGTATTTTATTTAAAGAAATGAGGCAAACCTTCCTACTTCGGCCAATTTACAGCTGTTAATCTGTGAGCACAGCCTGGATGTGGGCATGAGGTAATGTTCTTTACTGTTTCCGTTATTATAAAGGGCTGTCTGACTTGTGACCACGGGATGGGTTGTTTGCTTTATTTATGGGTCCATGTGGTCTCAGCCGGGTTTTAAATGGGGATAATTGCGGGTAACTGATGAGTTCTCGGTTCTGAACTCTACGGGTAAGAGCGGATACAGTTTGGAAAAAGACCCATGCAGGAGTATGCCACACAGTCTTATTAAAACTTTCTTTATATGATATTGAGATAATTTATAAATTTAAAAAAGTAGCAGGGAAGTCTTATTTTGAAGTGGTGTGGCAGAATATAAGAGTAACAGTTCAATAGCTATTTTGATCAATGTAACTGCTTTGGACCATTTGGGGTAGATTCTAACATTTTAAGGCCAAACAATAGAAATATTTTGTTAGAACATATATATTTTTTGTAATAGCTGTTTAATTTAGTTAACAGACAGGAAGTGGGTGGAAAGAAAAAGGGAGGAGACATGCAGAAAAACGGCTGGGAATAGAACCCAGAACAGTACATTTGTATATTTGATGCAACCTCTGTTACAACCCCACGCAGGGCACACAACATCACCATATGTCTTTGGGCTCTGTGTGCGAGCAGCATTCAGACATCAGGATAAAGTCTTACATTATGGGAGTCGATGCAAAAAGTCTAGTTTAAGACGGGGTGACCCCAAAGACAGCAGCCTACCTGCTGCATGCTGTGCATGCTCTGCTGCAGCAGCTGGATCTGAGCCTCTGGGCTGTTAGCATGTGTTAGTGCCTGTGGATGAGCGTGATCATCGTCTAGTCTGCTGATTCTGCTCTGCTCCTTCTTCAGAAGCTCAACTTCATTCCTGTATGCGTCCAGCTGCCAACGCAGGGAGTCGTTCTCCTCCTTCAGAGAGGCCAGGGTCTGATCACCCACTCCTGAACGGGGTTGACATCACATTTACACAGTGTTTATAATTTAATAGTTCAGAAAATGAAATCCAACAAAGAACAGTTTTCTTTATTACCAGATAGAACCAGAGAATTTAATGCAGTGGATAAACTGATTTATCAAACCGTTTTCTTCAGTGCGCATCCTCTTGTTGGGGATATCGTCTGAATCGTCGTCTGACATCTCCATCTCCTCTTCTCGTCGGATCCCCATTATCTCCTCACTGTGAGCATTTCTCAGCTCCTAAAATTTTGGATGGACACAGAAACACAGTGGATCTTGCTCAGGGCACTCACCAAACACTGTTCAGTGCTAACATCACATAAAAAAACAACAAATGATTCTGATTTTATCCACTAAGTACAGTTATACTGGGCAAATGAAATCTTATAAACTAAGGTGTAAACCAGGGGTCTACAACGCTGGTCCTCCAGTGCAAACACAGCTAATTCAAATGCCACCAGGTTTAGAAAAGGTCTAGTAAAGAGCCATTCATATGATGGAGCAGGGATGGATCCAAAAGATGCAGGACCGTAGAGCTTAAGGACAGGAGTTGGAGACCCCTAGAGTAAACAGGTATGTATGTTCCTTTGGTAAATATAACTGGAGAACTGAGATGAGAAAATGTAAAACTCCCACCTGTATGATGCCTTATCACTTGCCTGTGTTACTCTGATCTCAGAAATAAAAAGCCCTTTTAACTAAACAAAAGAGTGAAAGCTCTCACTTTTCACATTTTGGCAAATTCCAACCACAGATTTCAATGTAAAAGTTTTACATACTTGTAAGATAAATATTTTTTTTAACCACTGTGGCATACTCTGCCTTTTCTTTCTAATGCCTATACATAAAACTGTGCAACCATCTATCTTTCAAAAATCACCAAATTAGTATCTCCATGTGTTTTGTTTAATTTCAGTATGACTGAAGGCCCTTAGTGGCTGGTTAACACTGTGCGATCGTTGCACGCAACTACAGCTCACACTGTACGACGAAACCGCAGGGTTTCGTCATACAGTGTGAGTTCACAGCTCACGATGCATGTTCAGCACGACGCTCTGATGGGATCTACCTGCTCACACTGTATGTCTAAAAACCACGTCGGATTCAGCTCTGCAGTGAGATGGTGCTACTCAGACTCATCTATCCGGAAGCCAAGCGAGTAGAAGAGGAATATCAAGCTCACTAGAGTGAAACGGGCTACCTTGGCAATTTGTGCAATTTTGTGCTGAAAGCCCTAAAAAGAAAAGGCGACAACGTATTTGGACAAAGACATGGCTGAGCAAACGGTCTACTACGGTCTGTCAATTTTATAGATAGAACTCCATTTCACCCGCACCCCTGCCATGCTTCTGTGTTTACATCTGAGAGGAAGAATAATAATAATACTTGTTTGCGCACGCCCACTGAGCAACCATGATGGCCGACTGAAAATCAAACATGATTGATTTTCTCCGGAGCTCATGATTCCTGATCAGGAGGTGATCGTGAGAAACTGATCACCCCTTGTTACCCCCTGTACACTACACGACGCAAGATGCACAATCAGGCTGAAAATCGGTCTGATCGAGAAATTCTTGCTCGACTGGAAAGTCGGCCCGAAAAGGAAAAAAAAATCATGCAGTTTATGCCCGTCTTTAGAGAACATCTGTAAACAGTCAGCAAAAAAACGAACACAATTCATCACTCTAAATATGCCATCCCTAGGGTCAAACATGGTAGTGGCAGCATAAGGCTGTGGAGATGCTTTTCTTCTGCAGTCAAAGCTGGTCCTAAACCCTTGTGTCCTGGAAGGTGCACTTTCTGACAGAATGCTTATCACCGACGTGAAGCCAGAAATACAGTAAGGTGTTTCAGTAAAAACATGTTAAATATATTACAAGACCCCAAGTCTGGATTTAAATCTAATTAACAATAAAGAGAAAAACAAAACTGCTGCTAACTATTTCATAAAGTAAATGATCAAAAATGTAAGTGTCTAGATGTGCATGGATGTGCCTGTGATGGACTGGCGCCTGTCAAAGGTTCACCTCAAATCTCACCAGACTTTGCTACATAAAATGCAGGTAAAATGCATTGAAAGTTGTGGTTGTAAAGTGAAAAACAGGGAAAAAGTTAAAGAATCATGGATATGTTTGAAAGCAGCTAAAATGAAGAGATTCTGTCACATTTAAGATGTTTCCTAGTTGAGTCCTGGAGTCCTAACTGAATGAATTACTGTAGGTTGTAACATGATTGAACTGGAGCTGCACTAAAACCCTTGTTTGCAGTGGTTAGCTGGCAGCGGGAAGCACATGGTTTCTAATTATTTTATATGCTTTAATTAAAGCTCATTGTATTTAACTCTTTTTAGCACATTCTAGTTCTGCATGTGTCATTTTCACAAGAAACGGCCGCTGAATCCAGCTGCCTTGAGCTGACTGTGCTGAAACCGTCCCTCTTTTACACGCTTAAATCTCACGCTTCTTTCTACTTGTTATCTTGATTTAATTCTGGATGAATAATTGATTAGAGACCTAATCCTGGAAATCACTGTTGCCATGGCAGCGCCTCACACTTTCGAAGAGACGTCAGATGTTTCACAGTTTCCCAGCTGGTAGGAGGAGAGGCCCAGGATCACAGGCAGCTATCTTTCTGTCTGTCTGTTAGAACCAAACATCCAGTAAAACAACAACAGGGTTGCTGACTCTGACAGATCAGGCAGGCCTGTCTGTCAGCTCGCTCCTGGGGACTCACAGGTGACAGCAGAGAAGAAAGCAGAAGTGCTGGGATGGGAGGAGAGACACAAGAGAAGGCATACCAACCTCACACTGCTTGCGCCAAATGTCTATGTTCTTGCGCTGTGCTTTTGAGAAATGGTCCCATGCCTTTTGCCTGGTGGCGGCCGTGAAAATGCCGGTGATCTGTTCGACTTTGAGGTGAACAGGGAAGAGGAGGGTCAAGACAAAATAAGCCATTGATGTAGCATGTAGCTCTGACTCGAGGCTCCTACACCAAACAGAGGAGAGACCGTAAGACTGACCACAGGCTAGTACACTCTATCAGACATGAACCTGTCATGTTCACAGTGATATGAGTTCATTAGCTTTTCTCTGAAGTGGGTTTGTGTTGTGTCATAAAAGTCAGAATCTAACCTGGAAACAGGGGTCTGAGTCGTCACACTTTTGGAGAATCAGCCTTGTTAGACAGAACAGGGGTGAAAATGGTTCTTTTAGGGCCACATTTACTGGGCCTGCTTTCAAAATACCCAACTACTAGCTAATCATTATCTATAGCATTGATTATTTTCCAAAAAACTTAGTTCTTTGTGTCCTACTGGATTAACTGGACACAGTATTTTATCAGGTCATGCAAACCAAGTACCGTAACTATTTTCTTATGTTTATTAATTGTTTTATGAAAATAGGATTTCTTTAGCAAGTAAGTTGGGTTCAGGGATATAAATAGGGATCATCATGAGATTTATTATAATCTACATATAATCAACATCTGGTTTAAATGAGTTATTATCTTTTTGTGCTTTCAGAACTTCTGAAAGTTTAAAAGGCTCATATCATGTAAAATGTACCCTTTTAAGCAAAGAGTCAACGCAATCAACTGTTTTTTCTTTAGATAGAAAACTTTGAATTAATTTGACTGTATGATCTGGTAAAGTGCCTTTAGATGACATGTGTTGTGATTTGGGGCTATATAAATAAACTGAATTGAAGCATATGAGTGTAATAATGCTGTTCCTTAATAAAATAATACACAAAATGGTATTTGGCCTACTCTGTCAAAATCTTCTTCTTCAAGTCCTATTTTAAGCTGCAATGTTTCCATTCCAGGAAGCGTCTACCTTAACCATGCTGTGTCTGCACTGTAAACAAACCCCACTTTCCCTGGTGTAAGGCAGAGCGCAATGATTCTGGCTCAGAGTTTAGACATTCTGGCTCCTTTAGCAGCTAATCTGCATAGAGCAGCAACCTTTCCTACTGCTTATGTCTAAGTTGTGAAAATCTGATTATTGTCTATTAGAACTCTTGGACTTTGTTCCGTCCTCAAAAGCTGGGTGATATAGAGAGACATAATATGGAAAGTGGAACAGGTGTTTTTACTCAGGGTTGAAAGAAAACAAGTACACTTTCTAACAAATGAATACCCAAGTAGTTTTAAAAGCATTTTTTCATCATATATTTGCCTATTGGTGTCTGAGAAAAAGGTCCTTGAAGAGTTTGGACAAAACTAACTTGCAGTTAGAAGAATTATGTTTCTGGAAAAATGTAATCTAAGAAGCACTTGTCTTCTTATTTGGGTAATTCTAAGTTGGCACCTGTAACATTTCCAAAGCAGGCTAATATATTACAGAATATAAAGCAATCTGCTTTAAAAAGTGAATTATTTGCAGTGGTGTTAAAAGTACACACATTTGTTACTTAAGTAGAAGTATAGATACTGCAGTTTAAAAACAGTCTGGTAAAAGTTGAAGTATCAACTTGACCTCTTTACTCAAGTAAAAATGAAAAAGTATGTGCTCCAAAAACTACTTGAAGTATAAAAGTATAAAGTAACCTTTAGAAAAAACAGCCAGATGCCACTATATAAATTAAAAGCTCAATTTTTCAACTATTTCTAAAAATTCTTTGAGATAGGGCCAAGGATTCAATTAAATTCATTTCAGTTTATTTATATAGCGCCAATTCACAACACATGTCATCTCAAAGCACTTTACAGTTCAACCAGATCATACAGTCAAATTGATTCAAAGTTTTCAATCTAAGGAAAACCAGTTGATTGCATTGCCTCATTGACTCAAATGCAGTCCCTCACACTAAGCATGCTTGTAGCGACAGTGGGGGAGGATGAGGGAGGTCTTGTTGTTCTCCGTCTCCCGATACGCTCTCGCCTTTGTCGGACCTTTCAGACATTTCAACATCTTTTTCTGAATCCAGCATTGTAGCATGGCATAGACAATTCACATTTGCAGTTTGAAGAACACCTCCTTGCTTCTGATGATTTTCTTTAGCTAATCAATGAGTGTTTGGGATACGACTCATCCAATTACACTAGTTTTCACTAGATGTGGATGGCGCCAATGATCTGCATTGGATGGAGCACATGAGGTGAAATAAATATTTATAAACATTAAACCAAAGCCAAGAGAGTAATGTTTGTTTTAAAAATGTAAGGAATAGAAAGTACAGATACTTGTGTGTAAATTTAATGAGTACAAGTCAGAAGTAGGAAGAAAAATAAGTAATGGAGTAAAGTATAGATACCTAAAAAGTGTAATTAAGTACAGTAACGAAGTATTTGGACTTCTTTACTTGACACCTCTGATTATTTGGTTCAATAATCAATCAATCTCGATGGAAGCATAATTCATGTCTAAACAGGATTTCATATAAAACTGTGAGAACACAGATTTTGTTTTTGGCATATGCTTTAAATTTGTTTTCCTCAATGAATTATTACTTTCTTAATCAGAAATAATAAGAAAACAACCAAATATAGCATTGTACTTAATTATAATTTTAAGTAATACAGACAAAAGAATCTGGACCCTTTGGTTTATATGTACTGTATGCAGTACAGCGAATGGAAATATCTCCCAACATAAATTTACTTTTTTGGGTTTTTGGCAGTGGAATAGTGATATCCTACCATTTAATGATTACCTCGTTAAAACCTATTATATGGGCAAAATAAACCTCTGAAGTACAAGCCGGAGAAAATTGGTATCCAGTTTTATTTTCATGATCCCAGACGACTGTGTCACACAGTTTTGAAGTGCCGAACGCCACAGTATGAAATAAATCCCGAGGTTTGTGGTGAATATATATCTCTTCTCACATTGTGCACATACATCTGGCAGATTTATTTTAAACGTAGTCGTTTAATATAATCAACGTGTTTAATGTGGTAAACATCAAATTCCTGACTTACTGTAAAGGAGCTAAAGATTAGGGTAATGGCACAGAGGCATTTATTGAAATGACCTGACAAAAAATCACAAACTCAGCAGTTAAAAGGGTTTGATTGCTTAAACCCATTGGAGATGTGTTATTTATTACTGAGAAGTCTATTATTTTTCTTTAACATGAAATGTGTCAATGATGTGTTACTGATAACATCTAAATCTGCCAAGATTATGACTGATTTTGGCTGTAGGAGTATTTGTAATGATCTAATGTGTGTCAGGCCATGAACAGGTCTCTCCTCTGCATCGTGTTCTGTACTTACATTAAAAGCAGATTCACTTCCTTCAAGACTGACAAGGCAACATTTCTCCAGAATGGAAGAAGAGCATTAAGACGCTATTCTTATCAGGGCTGTGGGCTCAGATAATGAGAGAAAATTAAAGGTTCATTTGGTTTATTTATCCCTCCCTGCTGTGCTTCAGCACTTTTTCTGCATATATGAGTGCAAAGAAGACACTCTTGGTGCTGTGGCCAATTTAGGCGGAATTTAACTGTATTTCCACTCAGATAAGGAGACTTTTTTTTGTGGAGACCAGAAGGAACAGTTACTCATGGACAGCCTTCTTTCATTCTGTGTCAAAATGTTGCCTTTAAATCTTTGCTCTCACAACTTGCTGTTTCTGAACATTTCAGGCTTTTAAATTCCATATGCCTTTTAAAAAAAGAAAAAAAAAAAGATCCAGACATTTCAAACGTGATTATTTATGCAGTGCTATCTCTGAAGTGACACTATATAAAACAAGGCAATAAACTGTAAAACTGAAAAACTTTCACAGCACAGTACTTACCTTTTTATATTTTCTTTAAGCGGCAAACCTTTGAACAGGCAACATAAACAGATGCCACATGTATTTTTCTTCCCATAAAGTATCTGTCTTGGTTTCTGTTTCTCAAGAAAACTGAGTGTCTCAGGTGACCATAGGTCAAAATCATCTGTCTGTCTGGATGGTGATGAAAATGAAGAAAAAAGGCAATCAGTTCATCACTTTAGTCTACTCTGATTTTTTTTTCTTCCATTTGATTGTTTTTTTTCTCACTGCATAGAGGGGAAGGTGGAGAGCAACATGAGATTCTATTGTTTTTTGGTGAATATATTAAAGTTATTTTCCATTATCTGCTCATCTCTAGATATTTGTGGTTTTCTGTTACCCATGGTATCATCCCAGTGTAGATGAAGTCATCATGGCAAGGTGAGCTAAGACGTAACGTCACATGATTTGTGTGTGACACAAATCATGTGTCACACGGAGGAATTTTTTTATTTCTGTCTAACTCTCTCTGTATTTTCTCATCAGCTACCAAGCACATAAAAATTTGCATCTCGCTGTCAGATCACATTGCTGCAACAAGATCTCATTCTACGGGAAAATCTGCTCAGGCCCTGCACCTGCCTGGGACATTACACCGTACGACTGGCTGAACAAAGAAATCGGTCCAGACAGTTATAGTAGCATAATGTGCGTCGGAAGCAGCTGTGATGTTTGAAAGTTTCATATGTTTCATTAACTTTTACTTGGATATCGAAACTGAAAAGTCCTGTTTATGTAAGTATGTGTTAGAACAAGGCTCTTTTAGGTTGGTTAGCTTTCTAAATTAAGCTACAGTTATTTTTACTTCTTGGTAAAAATAACTATACCATTCCAACTGTTTTCTTTGCTTAAAATCTCCACTAAAGCTATTTTTGTCATATATTTCATTTTAACTTCATAAAAAGAATATATAAAGCTGATTGTCTCTTCTTGCTGGTGGAGTGGCGGCGTAGTGGTTAAGGCATTGCGCGTGGATCCCAGAGGTTGTGTGTTCAAGCGCCACTCCCACGGACTGCCACTCTGGGTCCCTGAGCAAGACCCTTGACCCCACACTGTTCTTCGGGCGCCGCACAATGTCAGCCCACTGCTCACCGAAGGGATGGGTTAAATGCAGAGAGTTCATTTTGTTGCTTTGTACTTGTGACAGTGGAATGACAACAAAGTAGAATTCTATTATATTCTTGTTAAATGGCACAGTTCAGTCTGTCTTAAAACTTGCCTTACAAATTGAGAATGATTGTTTCCTCCTTTTCAGCTACTCTAGCTCACCCAAGGAAATATGAATTAAATCAAGTATAGGTAATGATAAACAGAAAAGATTATTTAAAATCAAAGCAACACAGTTAGTCTGAGTAGCGTTTCTGTATTATAACGTCATCAGCAGGGCGTCCAGCAGATCTGGTACCTAAACTGGCATTGACTTAAGTGTTTCCCTTTTCTTAAAAGCTCCAAATAAGCTCAGGCACTGTTGAAAGTTTCAACAAACTATGAGTTAGGTTCTAAAATTGAAGCCTCTCTCGTGACTCTTAGTCAGTCAGTGATGGGCAGTAATCTGTGATCCAAGACTAATAGATGATAGATGCTCAAATAAAACTCTGGGGGTCTCTTTTAGGACTTTTATACTCCCTTTAATAATATACATCAGTTCAATCTGATAATACAATTAAAGCAAATTTCTTTAAATATATATTATTATATATATATCATTATATTATTTAGTTTTAGCTATAATTAGCTGTCAGAGATGCACGTAAACACTTTAGTGTTGAAAGGTTGAAAAAGAGGGCTTTGAGCTGATGATGAATCAGGGGTTTTTCTAGAGTCATGCTGGATGCTTTATGACAAAATGAAACTCCAGAACACACAGCCTGTATTTGTGATTCTGTGCTGCACAGATTTTTGCTGCTTTGCCAAGAAAAGGTCAAAACGTTGTGGAGCCACAGCCTCTGAAGCTTCTAAGCGGCTGACCTCATTGGGGCAGCACGGTGAGCTCAGGATAACACCGCTGATGGGGAGACGGATGAGAGAGTGTTGTCATGGAGACAGGGCTGAGATGCTCGCAGGGTAAATGAATCAAATCGAGATGGGCTTCAAAGTGGATGTGGTGAAAATGGCTTTATGGTCTGCACCTCTGTAATCTGCTGCGGCACCACGCCCTGCAGCACTCAGAGCAACTCATGTGCAGTCATAGGGGATGAGGATGAGACCATAGGAGTTATACTATGTGTTTATTATTAAGGTACTAATATCACGCTCCTGAAAGTTGCCATAAGTTCTAATCCCCTCACAAAATGGATGAAAGTAATGATGAACCAGTCACACTCCTGGATCCTGATGTTTCTTGCTGTTATACATGTTTTCAACTGAAACATCCTACTGACACTGTTAATAGACTGATCCCTCAGCTATCAGTCAGGCTTACCTTAATAACTGCACCGGTTACCGTTATTTTATGGAAGACGCTCTTCACGGTATTAAACCTCCTGCCTGAAAGGTTCTCTCACAGTGACTGTATCACACTTAAAAAGCATACTTACACTGTGTTAGGATGCCCATCAGGGCGTTCTTGAAGATCTCCTTGGCTCGCTCGAACTCCTCCTCATGCAGAGCTTTTTCGCTCATCAGCCGGCGAACGTGGCTGTTTGCTGACTGGATCATGGAGTAAAAGTGGTTGGCGGTCCTCCGGTTGACTTCGCCTCTGTCAATCCAGGTGAAGAGGACAGCTGTGGCCTCGCTGAACTTGTTGTCGTCTGAGGAAAAAGTGAAAAAGAGTTGAACCAAACTAGCAGTTTTTGCTTTACTAGCTATCCCAGTTTTTTCCCATTAGCTAAATGAATCCATCTTTTGGCATCAGTATTTAAATAAACAAATTGTTTCCTCTAAAGTTTCAACCAAAATGGGAACTACCCTCCAATTTTACTCGCGTTTCTTTCACACTGTAAAAAAATCTAAATCTAGATAAGTCATTTTTTCTTAAAATAAGTGCATTTGTTCTTAAATTGAGGAGATAAAAGACATTTTGCCATAAGACAATTTAGATTTAAAATAAGAAAACACAATTGCATTGTCCTATTTTAGGTGCATATTATCTAATTATCTTATTGTAAGAGCAAAAATACTCATTGTATTGGCAAATTATCTCATTTACCTACTCAAATTAAGGGTAGTACACTTAATTTAAGAAAATTTAACTTATTTTTAGATTGTTTTTCCAGTGCATTTGTTTGATATCTACTAATGCAGTAGCACTCTAAACCCTTTTACTCATGCAAAATGTTTACGGATTAGATTGCAGAGTTTCCAAGTTTAACATTTACCTAAAATGAATTTAAACATGAATGAAGGAAATATATGTATGTAAAAACCTAAGTAACATTTACAGTATAAAGCTCATGAAGGCTTAGATCAATTAAGATCTATGATTTGGTGTTAAAACTTCAGAAGTTTAAAATATTAATGTGCATATCCTACAAAAAACACTTCATCACATAAACCCATTGAATAAAACTGCTTCATTTAATTTAGAATTAATAAATGTCAGTCAGATTTTATATTATGGTGTTAAAATTATAATCAGGAGAATTGCAGTAAATATGAAGACTATATATTTCCAAAGCGAATGTGAACCTTATACATTTTTCCCAAAGTATTGCTAAAGATTTAAGCTGTGAACCAGCAGTTAGAGACTGTTTCCACTGAGGAAAAATGTCACTGGTTAAACATGAATCATAATTTCCAAGCGGAGCTATAACAGTCCTTAACAGCAGCCCCTCGGTCACAGAGATGACGGAGTGCAGACTGGGTTTCTCTGAAGTAGAAGAAGAACAGAGTTGGTAAAAGAAGCATTTAGATATCTTTTAGGAAAGCTCTCATCTTGGTCATTTAAGGTGGACTTTTCAATTTGTATTCGCTGATGTAAAAATACTGAAATGGGAACCAACCAATGTTAAAACCAAAATACATGCTGCAATGTGATCAATGTATGCACTTAAAATTCTGAATTGTAATGTTTATTATTATCATTAAAATCACAAAGCAGCTACCACACCAGCAGAAATCAATACATCCCATCAAAAACGTCTAAAGAATTTTAAAGCACTGTTGTTCCATTTAAATAATCTGAGATGGGTGTTTTTCTGCTCCAACCATGAAGCATTAAGAGTTAAGATAAGATAACTGATTTTAAAAGTATTCTATTGATTGTAAAGGAAAAATAAATTTTCTAACATCCCCACGCATAAAGACAATGACCTCACAAAAGGACAATGAACCAAAAATCCTACAAAACAAAACAGAAAAAAAACCTAAAACTTTGCATTTGACCCTAAAAACCAGGCCCGTATGGTCACATTTTTACTATCTTCAGCTACCCTGGTACCTGAGAGCAAATTATTAGAGTTAAAAACAGGATAAACAAAACACAGGGTTAGAGTCAAAGAAAAAATAAAAACTTCTACAAAATTCCAAGACTTGTGTGATGAACAGTCAAACAAAATGGATTATTTACAAAGTAACGGCACAAACACAAGTAGCAACTCTAATGCCAAATGGTTACACATCAGGTGGTCCAGCACCACAACAGGTTATATACATATACAAGTACCAACAAAATGTAAAACCCCCAAAGAGATCAGGATGGTCCAATACTGTGTGTTTCTGCTACAAACAGGATGCACTACCTGAGATGATGACGATAATTCAATTTAGTCCAATTTAATTTTAAAGCACTTGCTTGTTCGTTGTCTCAGCTCAGTCAACAAAAGTCTAAATAGGACACTTGTGATGTAAGATGTCAGGGCAACCTGTTTATAGTCACCGGAGACTGGAGACTAAATTCTCTTTGGAACAAGGCATGAGATCCATTGGGACCCTGTCACCAGTAAGGAAACTTGCTGTTGCAGAATCCCTCTAAGTTGCTCAGAACAGATGTTTAGGATTGTTGGGCTGAGACTATCTGGACCTGGAACCTTATTCCAGGTCAGTCTTACCATCCAACTCTTTACCTTACCTCTAGAGACAGACAGACAGAAAGGGTGCAGAGCAGCACCATCTGATTAAGAACAAACACTTAGAAGTAGAGGACACTGGCTTAGATGGAAAGATGTGAGACGAAAGCTATGGGTCAAAGATAGAATGGGCTTTGGGTAGGAGAAAAGGAACTAATCCTACTGAATGCTTCTATTTGACCTTATATAGACTGAAATCGTCTTCAGCCTTTGCAAAGCATCTATCACAGAGGTCACGGATTAGAGGGCAGCGGCCTGGATCCGTACCCACCTGCTGGCTAATCAGAACCCAACCTGATTTAAAACATTTATAAATTACCGCATGTTGTCCTACAGCAGTGTCTAATTTCACTTCTCCAGTTCCTACGGTAAAGCCCTCCAGAGTGTCCAGGACCAGGCTACACATGATACAAATTAGCCAATGAGCTGCTGTCAGTCTGGGTTGCTGCTGCGGCTACTTTTAGACACAGCAGGCAAACCTGTGGTAAGCTGGGCGATGGGAAAGAAGGAGAAGATGATGAGAAAAAGTGAAAGAAAGTGTGGACTGCTGGAAGAACTGAGGTGAACAGGTGAAAGAAAAGTGAAATGGCGTGCTCAAAGATGACCCTGCACATTTTTAGTAGGCTCAACCTACTGCTGTGTAGAAGGATTCTCCACCATGAACATAATCAAAAATATAATTGGAAAAAAAATAATTGGATCCAGGCTCAAAATGAACACCTTGATATGTGCTTCAAAATGGCTTTGTCTCCATTTAAATGCAGTTTAAAGCCTCTCAGGGCAGCGTAAAGCCCACTGCTCTCATTAAGCCATAAAAAATAAAAATAAAAGTTCAGTACAGGTGTTTTATAAAATATGTGAAACATGATACCAAACTGAAAAATTGTTGTTCCCTACTTAAAAAAACCCACTTCAGATTTTCTTTAGATTTTGAAATGGAAAAATTATATATATATATATATATATATATATATTTATTTTTTTTTTCTTTTTTTATATATTTTTTTTTAAAGTCAAGGTATAACACTGATGCATAAACACCTCAATTGATTTCAGTGTTAAATTCTGTTTAATTAATTAAAAATGTCTCCGGACCTTTACTGGTTGTTCATTTTCTTTATTTGGACCCTACTGATTTTTAATTGATCTATCATATTGTTCTGCTGGTGCTTCCTCTCCAGCATCTTCCTGTGTCCCTCCACATTGTTTGTTACACTGACTTTAGGTTACTTCTGTATCCTGTATTCTGTACCCTGCCTCTGCTCCTGCAGGTTCTTTTTCCTTTTCCTGGGTCACTGGTGATCCAAGGTGTGTTGTTAGCCTATCACTGTTCTGATGTGGATCATTAGATTAATATTAATGTCCTCTCCGTGAGGCTGACATAATGCATGCAAGTTATTTGCCTCAAAACAACTTTGATAAGATTGTTCAGCTGCCTGTGACCATCTTTTTATAGTTATATTTATAACAGATTGCCTTTAAAATAAGATGCAGATGTTCTGAGCAAAGAAAAACAAAACAGTGGTCTGATTCATCGAGATCTGGTCTTGCTTTACAGATGTGTATCACAATATCTGACATTTGTGTAAAACCAGTTTTTTCTGGCACAGCAGCTGAAAAACTGAGGAAATATTGGACGTATAGCAGAGAGTGAAGCATGGTTAAACATGATGGCGTAACATAAACAGCTGTCAAAATAACAACAGAGAGCTCTCTGGGAAAATAATATGGATCAACTCTCACTGCTATCAGCAAAATGTCTGGAATGCAGAGAGGAAAATTCACAGTAATATTTGCTGATTGACACCATGGGGTTACCAGATGTCCCAATTTCTGCTGGCCTGTGCTGCATTTTTTACTTCCATCTCTCTGTCCCAAAAATTTAGATAATTATCCCCATTTGTCATAGAGCTGCATCAGTGCCTTATGTCAACCTGTACAGGATGTTATTAAAAAAGGAAATGGATTTAAAAAAAAATATGAGGAAAAAGAAAAGAAAAAAGTGTCCCAGCAAAGACTGCAGAATGGTTTATAACTGAGTGAGACCAGTGGGGGGTGATTCTCAGAGAGTTGTTTAGTGAATTTTCCCAGTTATTTTTCAATTTGATACAAGGGGACCTTAATACATGCTATGCTATACTGTAGGTGCAGCTGAAAAAGCATTGGTCAAATTGTTTTTTTCACACATGTCATGCAAAATGTAATTCACAAGCAATAGTAATCCCCCCTTTGCTTCTTTAGGTGTCATTCTGCACAAATGTTTTAAAGGACACCAGCGTCAGGGAAATGATCTTCCATGTTTTTTTATTGTGAAACACAAAATGCACCTTTTCCAATGTTCTTTTTCAGTTCTTGTTGGAGCTCGGGGTACGTTCAGCTTTTCCCAACATATGCCGAATTGCCAGTAATCATTGATGGAAGAAATAGCTTGAATTTCCTCTTCTCCTTGCTCCTCCTCTAGATTCTCAGCACTTCCTGAGTTAAAAAATTAATCTGGGATTTGTTGAAATAGCCAAAGTATTTTTGTAGCTTTTAAAAAGCAAATCAGCTGCTTCTGGTTGTAAAAAAATTAAATAAAGCAAAAGAAAAACTCACGAAAAACAAGAACAGCTGTTTTCTTTGATTATGCAACATGAAAAAATCTCCCAAAGAAGAACATTTTCCAAAATAAACAAGAAATGAACAACAATGACCCACAAAAATTTGAAAAATTATTTCTTTAACAAGAACATTTTAGGATTGAA